AAAAATTGGGGATAAAAAAAAAAAAAAAAAAAAAAAAAAAAGTAAAAAAATTTTTAGTAAATTTCCATATTGATTTTATATAGTAAAAACATAATAAAAAATTTATAAATCAATTTTACAAGTAATTTTTTGAAATTTAAATAAAAAATTTAAATAATTTTTTATTAAGTTATGAATAAATAAAGAATTCCAAAAAGTTTTGTTACACACTGTAAATAAAAATCTTCTGATTATTCTTTTTAATATATTGATCAATTTATTTATCAATATTCATTATAATAAACAAGGATTGAATATCAACAAATCTTTTAATATAATGATCAATGTTTAATCTAATAAACTTTAATTTTTTTTAATATATGCTACGTGATAATTGGAGTTTATTAAATTAAAATAAAAATTTTTAATAATGTTTTTAAATACACGAGTAATAAAGGAAGTAAACATTTTACTAGATATAGATAGGTACATGGGAATTGAAAACCTCCCATCATCCATTTCGCTTCTCACGTTTTCATTTCGTCATTTCTTATCGAGCAACAATGATTTGTTTAAAATTCTTTCTACCAGATACAGTCTTCCGAATTGTCATGCCACATCCTACGGCTGATTTTTCTCAGATGAATGACATCAATTTATTTTCCCAAATACGCCAACAATCCATAAGTCATTAAGCTCGTTACAAGTGCTGATTTGCTCGATGATTGGTCATTGATTGCCAGATCTCAAGAGGGCGGCTTTGATCCTTTTCTATTCTTTCTTCGTGTTGCTAATAACAATGAGATTTTCCGTCTCTTCCTTAGAATAAAATCTAATTTTAATAAGTGACAATCTTCAAATAATGTCTTCCAAAAAACTTTTTCATCAGTTGTCATATGATTTGACAAAACTGTACTCGGATTTGAATTTTTGCGATGTGACGGTTGAAATAGGAAAATCACCAAACTTGAAGATTATCAAAGCTCATTCGGCAATCTTGTATTATCGATCACCTTACTTTCGTCGCGAGTTGTCAAAGCCAGACTTTAACAATATGCATAAAAAGTTCAAATTCAATATTGCTGTGGAGATTATCGAACCTTTGATCAAGTATGCCAGGAAATTTTTATTTACCATTTTACCATCGTCTAAATGATGATGTCACTCATTCTTTTATTATAGGTATATATACGATGGCACAATTTTATTGGATAACAAGAATGCGTCCGAGATCTTTCACTTGCTGTCGGCGGCCGAGAAATTATGTCTTCGTGAGCTCGTGAGTTATCTGCAACAGCATTTACTCGATCATCATACCGAATGGCTAAAACGCCACTTCAAATCGGTTCGTCGTGCAAGTTTTCGTAATGACGCATTCCAAGATCTACAACGTTATTGTACAGACATGATGTTAAACAATCCAGATATAGCGTTTCGCGCGATTGATTTTAGAAAAATCACGGAACAAGCTTTAGTCTCATTGCTTGAACGAAATGATTTTAGAATGGAGGAAGTTCAAATTTGGGAAAATGTCATCGATTGGGGAATTGCTCAGAATCCAGCATTGTCATCTGATCCATCGAACTGGTCCGCGGAGAACTATAACGAACTAAGATCAAGTCTTCAACGATTCTTGCCGTTGATTAGATTTCAAGAAATGACGTGTCAACAGTTTTTCGAAAAGGTACAACCGCTGAGTAAATTACTAGATCCGAAAGTTTATGAAGATTTAGAAAAGTATTTCACGCTGTCAACTGAAGACATGCCAGTTTCCCCGTTGATCTTGTCCACACGTCGTTCTTCTATAAATTCACTAATACTCACCGATAAGCACGTAGCATTGATCTCCATCTGGATTCGTCAATCCGAATCCAATCTCTCCACATCTCCAGCCGCGTCGAAAAGTCACGAGAACAGTGAGAATCGATGCGAACTAAAATTGTTACTTCGGGGAACTCGTGATGGATTTTCACCTTCAGTTTTTCACCAGCTATGTGATAGCGCGGCACATACCATCGTAGTGTTCAAAGTTAAAGACACCGGAGAATTGCTGGGTGGGTATAATCCTATAAAATGGAAGTCGGCGCGAGGGTGGGGACAAGCATCCAATAGCTTCATATTTTCGTTGGGTGATGATAACATCAAGAATTCAATTATAAGTCGAGTTAAAAGAAAGAATATGGCGTTAAACTATGAATATTCACTTGGTCCCTCTTTTGGTAATGGTATGTACGAATAATGCCAGACTCCTCTCATTTAGGATTGATTGGTCATGGTGATTAATTGTCTCATATTCTAAAAATAGATGACATCACCATCAACGGACAAGATTTCAGAGAAGAGACGAAATGTTATTCCGAAAATCATTGTTACGAAAGGCCGATTAGAAAACACAGTGGATATTTTTCATTGGAGGAGTATGAGGTGTTTCAAGTGAATAAGATTTAATATGCAATGCGGAAAGAGGAATGCGATTAATTGTACACGTGCATGCGAGTAAATTAAAATTGGATGGTATAAGTAAATGGAATTGTTCGAAAATTTTTCATGTAAACTTCAAGGAAAATTGGCACTAAATTATTGGATTGAAAGTTAAGCCACATCAAATAGCACAGCCTAAGTTCTTCATGCGGCACAGTTCCACATTCAAGTTTGCGTGAAGATCAATTTTATGTGCGTACACATGTGAGTACGTGCGCGTTTCGGATATCATTATTCCTGGTATCCTCATTTACTATTACGGAAAGGATTGAAATCATGAAGATAAGACTTTGCATTAAAAAATCACCACTTATATGGCAAAGCCTCTTTGGATAAACGAATACCTGTTTCGATTGCACTAAATTAAAACCCTTCCCATGTCAAAAAATCTATAAATGAAGAATCTCCAATTCTCGCGTAACTTCTTTTCCGTAAAAGAAAAACCAACCCAAATTAATAAATAAAATGTCGCAAGATCCATTTTTACGTAGACTTTCTCAAGATCTAACCGAACTTCTGGAGGAAGGAGATGATTATAACATTATAATTGAAGCTGGGGATGCGCCCAATAATAAATTTTTCAGGTTGCATTCGATGATATTGAGGCATCGATCGCCGTACTTTCGTAGAAAGTTATTGGACATGTCAAAAGTTGTCGAAATAAAAAAGAATCACATTCCCGTCGAAGTTTTTTCGGTTATTGTCAGGTTGCAATTTGGTATTGCTTGCGAGTTCAAGATTAGAGAAAATGTAAATTTGACCTATAATCTTTTCTACCCTTCAGGTATATGTACGGCGGGTTGATCAATCTAGATGAACTGGAACCGTCTATGATCCTTCAGCTTTTATGCGCAGCCGAAGAGATTGAACTTGAAGAATTGGTAATCTATATTGAATCCTTCTTACTCGACAATCATACCGAATGGTTGCGCCAAAATTTTGCTCTCATCAATCGTACTTGCTTCCGATACGAAGGATTTCGTGGCCTTCAACGGTTCTGTACTGGCATAATCGCCCAGAAGCCCGAGATGATCTTTGAGTCCGATGACTTTACAATAATTCAAGAAAGTGCTTTGGTCTCATTGCTGCAACGTGACGATCTCAGAATGGAAGAATGTACCGTTTGGGAACATGTGCTTCGTTGGGGGATCTCTCAAACCTTAACAATCACTTCGAGTCCTGAAACCTGGTCGAGGGACGACTTCTCTGCACTTAAAAGCACACTGAAAAACTGCTTACCTTGGATTAGATATTTTCAAATGTCCCCCGGGCAATTTTACGATAAAGTCTTACCGTATGAAAAGATTTTACCAAAGACCATCTTTAAGGAACTCTTGCAACACTTCCTGATTCCCGACAGACCGCTGAACACCATCCCGTTAGCACCGAGATCATCTACAATTATTACTTCTAGACATGCCGCACTAATTTCATCTTGGATCGACCACAATTCCAGAGTTTATGAAATCAATGAAAACCCTTATGAATTTAAATTATTGCTAAGAGGCAGTCGAGACGGATTTAGAGCAAAAAAGTTTCACGAATTATGCGAAGACAAGCAACGCACCGTGTGTGTGATAAGAGTTCACGGAACTGGTGAAATCATTGGTGGATACAATCCCACGTCGTGGGGTAAAAGTGGTTACGGCCAAACGACGGAGAGCTTCATTTTTGCGCTGGACGATATTGATTTGAAAAATTCAATAAAAAGTAGGGTCAAGAATATGAACTACGCGTTAGACTATTATTCATATTACGGACCAACGTTTGGGGGAAGAGATCTGGCGCTCGAAGATAACTTTAATGAAGAAGCGAGAGGATACTGTAAAAAGAAACACTATGAGAAATCTATTAGGAAAACGGAGGAACCTTTTAAGGTTCACGATTATGAAATATTCCAGGTTTTAGATAAATCCTTTAGCTAAACAATTTTATAATGAGTAAAACTTTTAGATGGAACTTCATGCATTCTCGCTCAAATTTAAAACATTGGTTGCAATCATTCATCCCATTTTCCTTTCTTCTTCTTTTCTTTTCTTTTCTTTTCTTTTTTTTTTTTTTTTTGCAATGAAAAAGTAAATTGAAGAACCATACATATCCCTGAAAAACAATAGATTAGGTAGTATCACGTGATCGTGTATGGTCTGGCATAAATTAATACAAATTCATTATTAAACATTTAAAGATATAAGTATTCCTTAGACATGGTTTCACGCGATTTAATATGCATTTCACATCTGATTTTCTTTTTCTTTTTTTGAAATAATAATATTTACGATTAAAAAAAAACGTTGCAATAAACTTAAAAAAATAAAATAGAAAAAAAATTAGAATTGTTCCAATTGTTTAAATACAAATATATATATATATATTTATTTATTTAAAAAAAGGAGAGTTTACCAAGTAACGAAATTTCTTGAAAAAAATTCATGTAAAATTAAAAGGTCTCAAGAGAACCCCAAATTTAAGATATCGACAGTAACAAATCAATTCTCGTTATTACATACAGTATTTTTTATTAAGCTATATACGTAAATTTCAATAAAAAAGCAATTTAACATAATCATGGTTCGTTTAAAGAATTCACAAAGAAAATAAAGTTAATAAAACGTTGCAATAACTATTTGATGCGCAAATCACATGTCCGTAAGATCGTCTACAACAAATGCTAGTGAGTATACAGTAGATAAATAAAATTATCAATACAAAATAAAGAATAAATACCATATACTTGCGTTACTTCATCAGATAATTTCGTATAGGGAATAAACTCGCTTTTATAAACTATTTCAAGTGTGTTCACTGCGTTTCTTTCTATCTTATCTTTTATTATCTTATCGGATTCAAATAATTATGATAGAATTTTCTCATCGGTTTTCCATTTTTCGAATAATTCGTGAATTCTTTCCGCAGAAGGGCGATTTCTAGGATTTTTGTCCCAACAACCTCCCATGAGATCCAAGTAACATTCTGGTGTACCCTCGATGATTGGAGGTCGTGAGCCATTGCACGCTTGAATCTGAAATTTCAATCTAGACGAGTGAGACGAATTATCGAAAGGCACAGCTCTTCCTGCTAAAATTTCCCACATGATTATGCCGAATGAGTAAATATCCGATTCCAGTGTATATGCTTTGCCACATAAAACTTCTGGTGCCACGTACGGCAAAATTCCAAAAATCCCGCCAGATTTTATTTTCAACTCAATGTCAGCTGATATTGAAAGACCCAAATCTGCTATGTATGCACTATGCAAGGTCTCTTGTAATATGTTACCGCTATGCAAATCTCGGTGAATAAGATTTTCCGAGTGAATTATCAAAAGATCAGAAGAAATACAAAGTAGTAGGTTCAATTTCATTTTCCATTCCATTTGTGATATCGAATAAAGATTTTTGCGCAGAGAGCCCATTTGTGCCATTCGCAAAACTAGAATATAGTCCTTGGAAATATCATCTTGAGATATTCCATAAATTCTTAAAAAAATGGGATTTTTAAGACTAATATCACAGTATGCCTTTAACTTTTATAAGTAAATAAATGTCAAAATTGTGGTGCACTATTAAAAAAAAGTAAACTGAAATAAAAATTTACCTCTTTTATAAACTCCTTGCTGCAACTCTTTGACCCATGAAGTAATTTAAGGGCAAAAACTCTAACATTCCACATGGCATAATATACTGTTGCAAAACCATCTTGCCCTATCTCCTCAGTATATTTAAATTCTTTAAAAGGAATCCGCAATAACGAATGCTTGTTTTCAGCAAAAATTTCCTTTAACTCATCATCATTATCGGAAAGTTCGTACGGCCATTCCTTTTCTACTCAGAATTGCATGTTATTTTTTTTTTTCTTTTTTTTTTTTTTTTAAAAAAAGAAGTGCTTTAAATTCCATTGATAATAAATAATAAATAGTTACCTGGTAATGAATTTCTTCCCCTAATTATCCTATCATATATTACTAAAAATATATTATTTGAAATTAATTAAAATCTGCAATGTCACTTACATTTGATACCAATACATAGCCATTTCTAGGTTTCTCGCTCCATTTCGGTAGCAATTGCCAACTCGAGAATATCCCATCTCAGCTGATTTTTGATAATATTCAAAAGCCCTATGTTCATCCTTTTCAACTCCAATTCCACATTGATATAAATAACCAACCACACATATTCCACTGGCATATCCAATTTCGGTCAACTTTTTGCAATATTCGAATGTCTTGCGTTCGTCCTTTTCAACTCCAATCCCTTTATAATAACAACGTGCGATTCGAAACATTCCACAAGCACATCCCATCTCAGCCAAGTTTTGATAATATTCAACAGACAAATGTTCACCTTTTTCAACCCCTTCTACATGGCGGTAGCAATTTCTTAGAAACGGTTTGTCCATAATTTCTGTTTCGTCTTTTAATCTATATTCACGGATGCAATGGGAAACTGATTTAAATTTTATTTGCAATTAATGCAAGTTATACAGATAAGATTTGTCAAGCGAAATTAACATGGACTGCATGAGATTAGTTTGAGTTATCGAAATTAACTTACTGTAATTTTCATTTAGCGTTGCTTAGATTCCCAATTATTAACTTTGTCACGTGAATTCTGCTTGGATTATATGAATCCAGCTTGAGTTGATGAAATTTTTTGGAATTGCACAAATATTTTTGAGCTATTAAGTTATAATATATGACAATGGCGTGCGATGTTTGGATTATGCGAAGTTAACTGTGCAAAATTGACTTTGTTGTATGAAGTAAGCTTATGTAATTTCGAGAATTAAAATAATTTGTGTAATATTACAGTTACCCCAAAAAAGCGATGAATATTTTACTATATTTGCCAATAACTCACCCGTCATCACATATAATAACCTAACAGGCTATATTTGAATGTTTGTTATCTTATTATTCAACTTATCTTATAAAATGTAAACACGCGTTAAATCAACCCGTGAAATGGTTAAGAGTATTTAGCAACGAGTCTATCGCAATCCACCAGAAATTTCGCGGATAATTTGCGTTCCTCTTCGTTCATGTGAAAGTTACGCTACTTAAATAATAAATTCCAAATGTCCATCGTTCCGAAAAGTTTCACAAAGTATACGACGTCGGATCGACAGGATCGTGAATGCAAGTCACCTTGTTATGGTGGTCGAAATCAAGTTAAGACTGAATAAACTCATTCTGGACTCGAACCTAAGGGAACAAACCATCCGTAACGAACTTTTCAGACATACTGTACGTAGTTACGTTGTTAATTTACCAATATGTCATCCTAGCAAGTCATACCACTTAAGCGTGCACGTGACCACCTGATTGTGAACGGAACAAGGTAGTTTTTCATACGAGACTCCACTGTTTTCTCGGAATACTTGCTTGACTTGATCACGTTCTAAAATGCCCGTTTTTTCCTATGGAAACGCATCAGATAAGGCTTCAAGTCCGAAATGAGTTGTATCGGTAGATTCTTGCCGAAAACTGATGTGTTAGTGCATACTGGGTTTTTCAGCAATACAAAGATTCCAAACATGCATCAGATGAAGTTCCAGACTTGATTTAAAATTGCTGGGTCGTGCGTTATTTCTTGGCCGTATACAGCCCGGACCTCAATCTATTTGAGAATATCTGAGTATTACTTGATGGTGCAAAAAAAGAAAATTTGTTATGAAAGGTTCTGGTGAAAGAAGGATAAAATAATATACAAACGATATAGTTCTTAGGCGTATACCAATACGTCGGATCGTATTCAGGCCTGTATAGATGTGAATAAATGGTATACAAGCTAATGGTTTTTTACATGGCCTTCCTACATTTACAGTATTTCAGACATAATAATTTAGTGAGCTATTATTAAATAAAAAAAAAATTTTTTTTCCTAAAAACAAAGAACCAGTTTACCACTTTCTCTAGCAAAGTAATCTACTTTGGCTACTTTTTTTTTTGGATCAAAAAAATTAATATATATTAAGTTAATTAATACTATCAAACTAATATTATAAAAGAACAATAATATTTAAAAAGAGGGGATTTAAGAATTTGAACATACTGTATCTACAGTATTCCATGACTTTGTGTTGACTACAGAAAACTAAATGAAGTCACAAAAAAGATACTATTTCATGCCAGTGATAAATGATCTCCTAGAAACTTTTAATGGTACTAAATAGTTCTCTTGTCTTGATCTCACAAGTGATTATTGGCAAGTATCCATAAATGATATAGACAAAAAGAAAATCATTTTTATCATGAAATTTGAATTCTATTAGCTTAATATCATGCCATTTGAATTATATAATGCTCCTGCAACTTTTCAAAGATTAATGAATGAAGTTCTTGTTCCATTCAAAGAAAATTGATTAAAGTTTATTTGAATAATATCACTATCTTTTTTAAACCATTTGAAATCATTGCACTTATATTAATATTATTTTGGATACCTTTAAGTAGCCAATCTAATATTGAACTCAGAAAAATATCATTTTTTTTTGCCATATATTAAACTTCTTAGACATGAAATTAATCAAGAAGAAATTCAATCTGCTAATAAAAAGATTAACAAGGTCCATGATTATCCATAACTCACTACTATAAAACAAGTCAGTGGATTTTTAGGATTTACCTCCTACTATAGAAATTTATTAAAAACTTTTCTTCAATTACCAAATCTTTAAATCAACTATTCGAAAAATATGTATTGTTTGAATAAATAGAAGCCTAAGAAAAAACCTTTGAATTTTTGAAAAAATGTTTAATTACTTCATTTTATGTCTATACTAATACCTTAGGAACTAATATTGATACTATACTTGCTTAATAAAATAATCAAAATAAAGAATATACTGTGACATATGCTAGTCACAGTTTAACAAAAGCACAATGAAATTATAGAACAACTGAACTTGATTATTTAGCTGTTAT